GGAAAGAGCGTAGAGACAGACAAGCAGGGCACAACCCCAACTGCAGAAGCAAAGCACCCATGCACTAAAGCAGAGTGTGTAGCTATCAGCAGGTGCCCCATCCTCATCAGCCATCCAGCTACTGAAGGCAAAGTAAACTCCAGAGGACAAGACACAGAACTCTGTACCTGCAGGTGCCTTTGCCTCTCCACAGCCTCCCAGCCCAGCAGGAGACACATTCAGGGATTGACATGAGCAAGCCACTGCTCTGCAACTGTACCATGCTTCAGAAACAAGTCATCATATCCTGCTCTCCTCTTATTTGTATAGTCTGGACTACCCTGGAATCTTCATGTTTCCCCAGGACCACCTCTTTTCTGGAAATGGCTTCTTCCCAGCTGCAAGCAAGAATGAGCTGCCCCAGCTGTACAGGATTTGAGGAGACAGTTAGCAATTCTGCCTCTCTCTGACAGCACTCACATGCCCCATTCCTCCTTATGCATAAACCTGCACAACTCCCAAGAGTAATATGCTTGGCAGGGGCTACAACCATGATGGGTGCATCAATTTTCCAGGAGTTATTCAGAGAGGAAAAGTACTTTTGGTTGGAAGACACCTTCCAGTGCATGAAACGTGCACACAATTGTCCACTGTTCCCATTATGGGAGGTTTTTGTGATGTTTTCTTTGTGAGTGAACATAGTTCTCAGGCTCCAGATCAACCTGCAAACACAATACTTCAAGAGGCTCTTGCAGTGCCTTGGTTTGGGTAATTGTCCCCGATCACTGCTGCAGCCACTCTGCAAGGGGCAGGGATGTCTCAAAAATGGACCCCTCTGCACTGTAAGTCCAAGTCAAAAATCTCTGTGGGTGCTATAAGTTTTTCAGTTATAAGTACTGCGTATATACATACCTTTGTTCTCCTGGCACACTGAGGCTGTTCAATAGGTATTAGGCATCCAAGCCTCATGTTTTCCCTGGTGATGGATCCGTATGCTCCTAGGCTTGGAAGCAGCATTGCGCTAAGCCAGCTCTCTTCCCAGCCTCAGTGGGCTTTGTGGTTGCAAACAGCACAGCAGAGATTGGGCTAGAA